TTTAGGTTTTAATTTCGACTTCATGTATATTAACAACATCTTCTGTATAAAATAATAATAATAATAATAAATAATAATAATAATCTCAAATTTACCCAATTTGTTGGCGCATTGATTCATTATCTCTATTTTTAGATTAATTATTCCTATTAGCAACAAAAATTATGAGGTGACCTACAATACATAATGATAAACATGATTTTTCTAAATATGAAATGTATTGTAACAAATCTATAATAAATAATTTCTATGAATGACTGTTTAAAATATATATATATATACATTTTTTAGAAATCAACTCTTTTAAGGCAATTCGCCCTTGACCACAACTTTTCTTAATTCCCGTATTGGTTGGTATAACGTCGATCGGATAAAATCTAATAGATATTGAATAATATTAACGGAAAAAAAAAATAAATATTATTGTTATGCAATTGTGTATTGGTGTAACCGTGATAATGAAATGATCTTGTTGGTGAAATATTATTGTTATTGTGTCCTAATTATTTTGTATTATTTGACATACCAGATTATAATTAGAGTTCGGCTAGAAAAAAAGGATAGATATTGTTTTCATATACGTTAATATTATTCAATCGATTGTATTATAATTAATAACAAATGTTAGTTATGTAATTAATAAATTAAAACAACAATTACTAATTATGCAAATTCGTGCTTTTATTTTTCCAAAAAAAAAAAAACATTAACAATAGTTTATACAATGGACAGAAGTCTCGTAAGTTAGTATTATGGTCAATTTCATATATATATTCTAACTAAATCCATCCTTAAATGCTTCAAAAAATTTCTATTAAATAATTAAATCATTCTTTTCTTCAATAAATTTATTTTTTTCACGTTCACGTACAAACAAACAAACTTGACTATTTGTATAACCTAAATAATAATTATCTTTCTTATTCTATTATTCTTTGTAAAAATAATATTTTAAAAAACAAAAACGAAATGTCTATACCAATAACAAAATCTTCAAGCAATCAAGTTTACAAATG